CCCAAAGAAAAAAAAAAAATGTTTCACAGGTACGCCGCTGCATAACGGGCCCCGACGAATCGCGCGACATGTATCGTAACGTGTGCACAACACGACGACGATGATAATGACGATAAAACGTATAAAGTTGACGATGCGCACGCGCACAGGAATGCGCGAAATCCGAACGCGATTTCCCGTTTCCTCGTCCGTTCGCATACGTTGAACGGTGCGGTAAGTACCGTTGGGAAATTTCACCGATAGTTCAGCAATACAACGTAAGGATGCACGTACGTATTGTCGTTATTATCATTATCATTATTGCCGGGAACGATTAAACAGTCGGCTGCACGTTTGCAGCGTAGTATACGTGTACACAATGAAATACGTTCGGGACGACGACAGGAATACTTACATCGTAGGTGTACAGCTGTAATAGAAGTGTCTGATAAATTGTGTGACTGGCGTTGCGCAGAGTTTTTTTTTTTTCGATAAATTCGAGTTGTTGCCGCCGACAAAAACAATAGACCGACGAGTAACGGGAAACCGTTTGAGTGTGTTTGAATTACGTTACACGAATAATAATAAAAAAAATAAATATATTTAAAACAAAAAACAAAAAGAATCTTTAAAAAAAAAAAAAAACTAACGATTGGACAGTCGATTTCGTAATAAATATTCGGTAATTCGCACGAAAATCTTATAAATCTTTATATTTGTACGTATATATATATATATACGAAGAGAAGGAGATAAAGAGAAAAAAACGTTCATAATTGGGTGACGGTTAATAGTATGATAGAATAAAAATAATAGCAATCATTTTGACGAAATTTCATTGGAAGCTAACGACCCGTTAAGTGCTACTGAGCCACGCTATGTCGGCAAAATATAATACACATAAATATACCAATTATACATAGCATAGAGAGAGAGAGAGAGAGAGAGTGAGAGAGAGAGACATATATTGAAAGATATATGGTAAGAAAACGGAGCACATATACTATTCCGTCCTCGAAAACGTTATTGCGACGACCGGTGGTAGATTTTCCATCATTGACAATAGACGGAATCGCATTGAACTGCGATGATCGCACAAACAAAACGCCGGCGGTGCAAGACCTATTGTCGGTTGTCCATAATTTATTATCGTGACCGTTGGGACTCGATTGAGTGTAAAGATTACAGTAGCTCTGGCTAATGGTACGAGACGTCCCAAAATCTGAATCGAATTCCTATAATGAAACGGAGGTATTATTCTTTTAAAGCGCCACGCGATATCTAACAATGAAATTAGACTCTGTAGCGGGAATCGAAATTAAAAAAAGAATAAACAATCTAAAGTTCATTAACTCGTAATAATCGGCATTTCTGAAGATCGTTCAGACTCGTAAACATGTACACCGCTCGCTATTTTTTTTTTATTCAACACGAAAGCGTGAAGCACCAGTAAACACAGCTCGCGTTATACGTAATGGTAAACACGTGGTGCGTATTATTAACGAAGCAACCAACCTCCAACACCGCGAAAATTTCGGAATATAAAACCATGGCTCGTTCGTAACACCGTGTAACATGTGCCGAGTCGATTTCAGTTCAAAGATATTTGAAACATTATGAGATTATAAGTCAGACGAAGTCTTACAGTGTCCTACGTACCAAAAACGTTTGCATATAGGTTATATAAAGGTTGTAACTTGTTCTCTGACGAATTCTACGGACTGTATGTATGTAGTTTTCGTCGTGTCGGTACGACTATAATACCGATGACGAATAAGTGTTGGAAAAACGGTCGACAAATCGTCGACCCTAAGCCGCACAACACCCGTACGCGTCTCTGCGTGTAAAAGAACACGCGACGACGAGTCGAACGCAAGTCCAAGGTGAAACAAGTGTAATGTAATTAACGTGTTTTCTATTTTTGGCCGAAAATAATTAGTCACCGGAGAGGACCTCTATGCAGCAGCTAATTGCCCAAACGAAACAGAAATGTGTAAATAGTACACGCGTTTGTTACAAAACACGATGCGAGGGCACATAGGTATATCTACGATTAATAATAACGGACGTATACGAAAATGTCACGTCGGTCTACATGACAGCCGTTGGAAGACCATATCATACAGTTGCCGTTAAATCGATTTTTAAACAGTTTAATATTTTAATTCCGATTGAGTGTCAAAAATGTTGACGATTAGTCTTACACGAGCCTAAAACGAAAAAATGTGTTTAAAAAAAAAAAAAATTTTATATATATATATATATATAACGTGTAACATGTTTATCATAAAATATATAATATTACGGTGTTCTATTTGCTAGATTTAGTTATGTCCGGCGTAACATTGTGCAAGTCACTCGTCACGCGCCTTTAGTCCGAACCGTACAGTCGCGGAAAGAAACGTTACACTTATAAAAATAATAATTTTTATATATATAGTGTTTCCTTGTCTGCGAAATAAATAATAATAACAGTAAAAAAAAAAAAAAAAAAAAATGAAATGAAAAAATATGAAATAAAATACTCAGCTAAACGACGTTTGTATGACGTGCATACGCACTGAAAAGTAATTAAAAACACGGTGAAAATCTCCCGTAAATATTATCTCTCCGCAGCAGTATTTGCAGTTAGAATAGAATAGAATTAGAATAGAAAGCAAACGGTTTATAATTGTAATACACATATACAAGTCCATGTTTGTGTAGTCAGTGTAATTCGGAGTAATTAAAAACACGTCTCTAAAACAATATTAAAATGTACTAGACCTGAACGGTGTGTAGAAGAGCGCCTATGCCTATCTCAAAACAAGAATGGGATGCGTAGTATAGTGTAAAGGAAAATCGTCAAAACCGACAAAACGCGTGTTTTGGCACGTTGTTCGCCGAATGTTTTTTTTTTCTTCCAATCATTGTCGACCGATTTAAAAACGGGAGAAAAAAACAATTTTCAACTAAAATGCGTATTATTACTGTATTACTCGTTATTTGCACTAGCACAAAAATCGATTAGGAAAACCTTCGGTGTGTTTTGTTTTTTTGCAGAAACCACAGTCATGACGGATGGAAAAAAAATGTTACACATAGAAATTATCCGTTTAGACAACATTTAGGAGTTTGTTGTAGCCCGATTTTTTCTGATATTGATGATATACGTGATGGTGATGATGACGATGATGATTACTAAATACCAATCGTGTCCTACTTCGACGGATACGCGACGTTCGCGTTACATAACTAGCACGTTTTTCTACCTATATTTTTTATAAATCCGCAATCGCAATGACGTTTTATTATTATGTTTAAAGTTCAAAACTATATTGAAATAGAAGTCCTACATTACAATTGGTATATTTACTTACGTGAAACGCAAATTTAACAATTATAATAAATTTAACTTACACTTATAACTGATGCAACAATTGCGGGTTAGTTGAGGTACTTGAAACAAGTTTATCAAACGACTCTATTACAAATTATATATTTCAGCGATTTGCGTAAGATCAATGGAACGCATGACTTGCAATATTATTCAAAAGTATAGACTATTGAATGTCGTTTTATTTTTTTCAAAATTAGAAATGAAACAATTATTGATTTTCATGAAAAGATTCCGACAAGTATTTCTCCGTCATCATCGTGACAAGTTCGCGATTTCTAAACCTTTTCTAAAAATATTTTTTTTGCAAAAAGGGTATCAGTCTCGACAATATTGAAATCTCACCGATTTAGACGGATACCATAATACACACAATAAATGGTGTTATTAGGCAAACGGTTGGTTAAGTTTCAAAATATTTATATTTGTATGCATTTCACGTTTTGTGTATAAAAAATTAGAACAAAAATCACTCTGAATTCCTATATATTATGGGAAAGCCGTTTAAAACTGGTCATTTACTCATATCACGGGTTGTCTATGTAACGAAAACAATTACTCAACAATGCCATATATGATATTACTACAAAACTCCGACGCGTTTTTAACTCCAATTGTTTCAAAACAAATTGAGAAAAAAACGTATATTTTTTACACGTATACAAATAAAAGTAAAAATGTTCATGATCTTAAAGTTATTAGAAAATGTTATATCAAAGATAAAAACACAATATGTGATATGGAGTAACATTCGCAGAATATATTAAATCAGGCTTAAATTTGATTTCGGTTATGCGCTAATAATATTTATTGGTATTGTTTACGTATAGTAAATAAAAAACGTCAACAATTTTATAACTCAACAACTGAAGGAGTCAGTTGAATGTACCTATAAGTAATACGAATGTAAAACGTTTAAAAATCAACGTGTTTGTACGAAATCTACCGGTTTAGTGCTCGACATGGATAAAATTTAAAAAAAACGGTTGTATTTACGAATTAAAATGATTGTGTTGTTTATAAGAATCTATGTAATTTTTTAGTCGACCGTGTAATAAGGAGTTACATTACACTTTCAACAAATAGTGTCGCGAAATCGGCTACGCCACGAAAACACCTAACCTCACCATACATGCCAGGGGTGGCCACAACGAGGCTCGCGAGCCGCATGCGGCTCTTCGAACCAAATTTAGACTAAAATTAATAAATATAAAATGTTGTTTTAATTTTGTTTCATTATCATTGCAGTCGTTATTAGGTATAGATTGACACGACGGCGGTGCTTTTAGTATGTGTAGCCAAAATATGTCTTAATTTTATTAAAATCGCTTTACAATGTGGCTCGCCTCGAATTAGCTTTAAAAATTTGCGGCTCCCAAAATTAAGGTTAGTGGTCACCTTTGCTACATGCTACGGTGCATAGTCCACGACGGCCGGGAGACCAGCCGATACCGCCCAAACCCGACGGATGCCGATAATATTTAAACGGGACGACGAAAAACCGTACGCGGCCTGAAAACAACGACTTGTGTCCACGGAGAAGAGAAGGAACGAACGGAGCCGGTTCGGCCCATACCGTTATTAATTGCGTACGGATTCGAGACGATAATCGCGCGCGCACGATGAACACTGTGTTGCGACGTACCTTCTGTCCCTGACGCGTTTCTGGGTGCCGTTGGTGCCCCTTATGGTCCTGTACAGCGACATCATGGTAGCGGGCGGCCCGGACGGCTGGGCGGACGGATGATGATACACGCACGCACGGACGTTTCTCGCGACCGGACCGAACGGAACGAGTGCGGACGGAGAAGAAGACTGTTGCCGTTGACGCGCGTGCACTTGTGCCGCGGCCGGGATCCTTTCGCTTTCGCGATTCGTTCGGGAAACGCAAAACGCGCGCCGGCCACCAGCAGAGAACCGCGAAACGAAACCGACGCACCGACAACGGAGATGTTGCACAGCGCGAGCCGAGACGCGTACGGTGGCGATACGATGAGGAAACGTTTCGCGCGCGGACGGATTAATGATCGCAAAACGGTTTCGATGCCGTTGCGCTCGGTTTCTCGGGGGGGGGGTGGCGAAGGCTTAAAAAAGGGAGGGAAAAAAAAACAAGAGAAAAAAATAAAAAACAAAAAAAAAAACACTTTCGTTGCGCGCGCGAAAAGTACGGAGAACACTGCGCGGCCCGTAGAACAAATGCAATCGCGCCGGCGATGTGTCGTCTCGGCGGCGGCGGACGGTCCGACGTTAATTATAACACTACGACACGGCCGTGTTTTCTCTTTCGCGCGCGCCACGGCTGCACGGGTACGCCCGCGCCGCCCCTCTCTCCAGCGTCCCACCGTGCGCATAGGAGTGTACAACGAGCGCGGTCGGCGTACGTCCGTCGTCCAGGAGAGCACGTTGTTCTAAGTGTTATTGTTGTTTACTGTTATTATTATTATTATTATTATTATTATTGTCGTTGTCGTTTCGCCGCACTATCCGTCGTCCTCGCGCTAACTCCTGCACCCCGATCGTTTTCGCATATTTTACTGCTCGTCGTGATCAGAACATTACGCATCTAGATACGCCGCCGAAGAATCAAACGGCGTATTGCCGTCGTCCCGTACGGTCGCTACGGATTTCTGTCCCCTACCCCCACCCTCCAACACACGCACCGCGCCAATATGGTTCGGTTGCTCGCGACAATTCCCCGTCAGCCCTGACGCGCACGTCCGACGGGCACCGAGTTTTCGTGCGACACGACGCAATCGATCCCTCCCCGAAAATCGACCGTCACGATTCCAATGTGCTGCTACACTTCAGCGGTCTCGACCCGTAGTGTTAACCGGTACGATGCGTAGACGACGTAATCTGATGATATTCGTCTCGCGAAACGAGATGAGCCCTACTTTCAGACGCGTGCGTATGAATTATTTCGGGGAGGGTTTTACGGTTTTCGACGGCTGCCGAAACGAAAATTATTTTTCAAAAATAACCACGGCAATCCCGATTCACTGACCACTTACGTATCCGATGGCGTGGGTATTTAAATAGACATTTTACCGTCATTTCCCCCCCCCGGGGGGGGGGGGGTAAGTTGAACCTCTAAAATCCTTATTTCTATGTTCACCTGATTATTATCAACCGGTCGACCCGACCACCGTCGAACGAGTCCGATACACGTGTATCTAGGAAATTTGAGCTAATTAAAATACAGCGCTCTTACATAGGAAGGAGTACGGGGTATGTTCGTGATTGTTTTTATTTTTCATAAACTCAAGAACGCCCTTACTCCAACAGCGCCTGAGGTAAGCATAGCCCCTCCATCAGGCCCGGCACTTCCGTTAAGTGTAATGTTTGGACCATGCGTCCATTTTCTTTTTTTAACGACTTCCACACGTTAGTATGGTGAACAAGAGATTTACGATACGTTATTACGATGCAGTATCACCTCGATAAATTTCAATATGAGTGCCTAGCACGCGTATTGTTATCGCACTACAATGATTATTCTTTCGGTTTTGAATAGTGTACAGCCACGAATATAATACACAAAATGTACGCGCATAATACGTGTAGGTAACAGCTCACAAAATGGATTTGTTAACGAGCGTTATAATTACAGTACGCGATTGTTTAATACACTAGTTATTGGTTCAAATATAAATCTAATAAAACAACATCTATCCGATAAGAATGATATCACACAAGTGCAATTCATTAATAGGCCTATGCAGGCATAGAAACGATGGTCGGTAAAGAGTCGAACAGATTTATGAAAACTAATTGCGATAAACGATAACTTAAACAATGATCACAATAACACTTGTGATCCTGTGATACCGGAGACTTTTTCACGGATAACTCCTTTATTCGCACCATAACTACTGTTAATACTACGGTGATATATTCCGGACGGACGTAGTTATCACTTCATTAATTCCATCATGCAATATCGTGTAATTTCTACAAAAAAAAAAAAAAAATGATTATGTAATCTACAGTGCTAAAGGAAACATGAATACTGAAAACCAATATTTGTAAAATCATTTTTTGAACAGTATACGAAAGCGTTTAGCTAAAGATCGTTTACGTCACGATTGTATGTTGTACATGACGATCGTATCTACAACAGTTATTACAACCGCATTACTGTTGATATTCTTTGAATCTTATTTTCCATTTATCAAACAGGTCCATCTTCTTGTTTTCAATATGGTGCCAAATACCAAAAATTAATTCAATAACAGATATTCTTAGATCATACAAGTTTATTACAAAGATTTGTTCGCAATTATTTCATCTAATAACGCATGAATATTTCTTATTGGATATAACCAGATAACCTATGTATACATACAATTTATATAGTCTATAAATAATTGCACGCAAAATTATTTTATGCCGTTAGACATACAAACTAATTCTAGATCGTATATATTGCAGTATGTATACAATTCAGAGACTTAAACGCTATGTACTATATTTCTACATAATATATTTGTTACAACCTAAATCGTTTAATCTGTTTATACGTATCTATAAATAAAATATATATTCTGGTTCTGAAACTATCTTTTCCCTTGTCAAAAATATTCAGAATCTATTCTCCTAAATTTATCGATTGTTAGGTTCATAATATATTCATACAGAAGTTCTTGACTTTCTTTGTCGAATCATCATCAAAACCAATCCTTCATTTTTAAATTTGATTAATAGTCAATAATACATGTACAATAATATACATAATACAGTCTATAAAATATTTGGATACTATTTCAATATGTTTAATATTATTTTGTACTAAAATTTATGTTTGAATAAAATTTAATAAAGTTGATTTTGTGTTTAATATATAAAATATTTTATTACATTTTTAAATGTCATATTTTTACAGTTTATTAAAATATTTTGTAATTATTTATAACAATATTTACCAATAAAAAACATTTAAAATTTGTTGATACCAACGTATCATATTTACTGTATTCGTAGCGAGTAAATGTAATGTATCCTGCAGAGGTATTAAAAATAATTTATCACTTATAAATAGAATAATAAAATATAGAAATTAAATAACGTACAAATATGTATTTTTAAATTGATTTATTATAATTTTTATTCATCGAATAGTTATTTTTATCAACTGATTATTTATTTTTCATTGAAACAATTATTATTTAATTAACATTCGAAATTTAAATTATTGTAACTTCTATTTAATAGTAATATACATTACAAATTTAAAGTTTAAAAAGGTAAATTGTGTATTTAAATTCAAAATAATATAAACATAAACAATTTAATTAATACGATTTTTACGCTCCATAATTATATTATGGGTACATAATGGACACTTTATTTATGATAAACATTTAGTTAATAACTAAATATCTTGTTAATATACTTGTTAATGTATGAAATGGAAAAATTGTCTACTTGATACAATATAAATCTTTGTACTTTAAAAAGTAATTAACCTCATAAATATAATGTTTTTATTTATACCAAACGGAATTTAAACAGATACATACAAATTCCGTGTTATTCCGTGTTACATCTATTGATGTATAAAAAAAAAAACACTTGTACAAAAACTATTCAAATATATTTAAATAACCATCACGTAATTATGATAATTAATTGAGCTAATGAATTCAGGTATAAACAAGCACTTAAATTTCCATCAATCATTGATTGATCACAATTCCCATCAACTATAGGCATTCATGTAGACTATTAATATAGTCAACAAAAGAAAATCATATAATATTTTGCTAATACTAAAACAAAGGTAATTTTTAATTAATATCAGTGATAGTTTAATAAGAGTAATAATTAATTTATATATTTATGTACATAATATACAGCTGAGTGTTGTACATAATTAATGTGTCATGCTGTAACATTGAGCAATGTAGAAATAACAAAATAATAACTTGATTACCGAAATCACACGCTCAATGATTCTAATGTTAAATAAAAGTGTAATAAGGTGAAACACCTAAACATACCTATATTGCATCAATAATTCCTTTCCGTGGAAAATTTATAATCTTTATTACTAATAAGAATATTACACATCCGTAAATTTAAAAAAAAATATTATACGACTTGTGTGTATTTACAAATGCCCTATAAAATAATTGACATAACTGTATTATTTGTATTTAATATAATAATTGTAACTGGTACCATGATGCAATTGAAAAAACGAAGTATATTGATCACCATGATCAATTGTAAAAAATCGACCGGACGCAGGATTTATGTGGGCCACTGAAGTTGAGTGTGCTTGAAAACAATGAAAAAACATCACATTTTAAAAATAATTCTTACGAAAAAAGTCGATTTTTTTACCGATTACAAACTTTAAAATAGCTCTATGTGCTTGCGAGAAGTTTGTTAAACTTTTTAAGTAGTTTAAATATCAACTATATGATACATGCAACCGAATGATAGACCAGCTACATCAAACTTAATAAGCATTCATAACATTCATAGCTTTTATAAACACTAAAAAAAATATTATTTATTGTTCTAGTGGAAACCTATAATACAAATAATTATTAAAATCTATCAATTTATCGTTATTACGTCGTCTATTTGTACAAATTATTATAGTAACTTATAATTTGTAGTGATTTTGCCCCTCCTATAGATATTCTTTAATCACTACTTATGACAAACTTGATTGCAAACTTTCTATTTTCAATTGAACCTTGAACATGACCTAGAAAACCTGTTTTTCACATGTTTATAAATATTTCATCGTTAAGTTAACGATTTATACATAATATTACAAAATTTAAAATATATATATTTATTTGAGTGGGCTGTAATTGATAGATATTTACAGCTTAGTAGTTTTTTTAACCTCGACACAAATCAAATCGCATTAAGATATTTTTTTAGAAGACATAATTTTCTCCCCTGTATTACTAATAATTTTTATTTAAACAAATAAATGCGGGGTTTATCACTTCACTTATAAGTATTATTACAAATTATAGTCTTTGATGTTAAAAATATCGTAATGCACCAAAATTCATATCAAATTATAAAATAGTTAAGTACTA